TTTTGTCATAATAAAGGCCATTGGAAGAAAGATTATCCTAAATTGAAGACCAAATGCAAAGAAAGTTCTGAAGCTAATGTTGCTGAGGTTGAAACAGATTTTTCTGATTTTGCTTTAACCACTTCCTCATCATTTGATTGTGCTACTAAGTGGGTGTTGGATACGGGTTGTACTCATCATATGACTCCTCACAAGGATTGGTTTTCAAGCTTGAAAGAGTTTGATGGTGGCGTGTGTTTATGGGAGATGACAATCCTTGCACAACAAAAGGGATTGGTACAGTTCGTTTGAAGTTGCATGATGGCATGGTTAAAGAGTTGACAGGTGTTCGGTATGTACCGAATTTGAAGAAAAATCTTATTTCTTTGGGTACTTTGGAATCCAAGGGTTTCAGGTTTCATTCAGATGGGCAGACATTAAAAGTTACTTATGGTGCACTTGTTGTGATGAAAGCTCCTAGATGTGGCCATTTGTATTTATTGCAGGGAAGCACTTTGACAGGTGAAGCATCTGTAGTTTCTGAAAATATGGGCACATCTGATTCAGATACTACTAGACTGTGGCATATGAGATTAGGCCATGCCGGTGAGAAAGCTCTACAAGGGCTTGTGAAAAAAGGTCTTCTAAAAGGTGCCACGACTTGTAAGCTTGATTTCTGCGAGCATTGTGTCTTGGGGAAGCAAACTAGAGTGAAGTTTGGTACTGCTGTACATCAGACGAAGGGCATTCTTGATTATGTGCATTCGGATGTTTGGGGTCCTACAAGACTCCCTCTTTGAGTGGTAGACATTGGTTCGTGACCTTTGTTGATGATTATTCAAGAAGGTCCTGGGTTTACACTATGAAGCACAAGAGTGAGGTGTTAAGCATTTTCTTGGGATGGAAGAAAATGGTTGAGAACCAGACTGGGAGAAAGATTAAGATTTTGAGATCGGATAATGGTGGTGAATACACATCCGACCCTTTCTTTAAAGTTTGCAAAGAAGAAGGAATTGTGAGACATTTCAGTGTTCGGGGAACTCCACAACAAAATGGAGTTGCAGAAAGATTGAATCGAACCTTGCTTGAGAAGGTTAGATGTATGTTGTCTCAGTCGGGTTTAAGCAAGTCATTTTGGGCAGAAGCAGTTAATTATGCATGTCACATCATCAATCGGTTACCCTCAGCTGCTGTTCAGGGTAAGACACCAATGGAGGTATGGACTGGAAAACCTTCTTCTGATTATGACTATATCCGTATTTTTGGTTCACCTGCTTATTTTCATGTGACTGAAAATAAACTTGATCCTAGAGCCAAAAAGGCTATCTTTCTTGGTTTTTAGTAGTGGTGTCAAAGGTTACAGGTTGTGGTGCCCAGAGATGAAAAAACTTGTAATCAGCAGAGATGTGACATTTGATGAAGAAAGTATGTACAAAGGCTCTGAGAAGAATGTGAAAGATGTCCAACAGGTGGAGCTTGAGAAAGTTGCCTCTGATATTTCAAATCCTATTTCCGCTGATGTCGAAGCCACTACAAGTGAAGAAGTTGGAGACCATGAGGATGTTGAAGAAGTTGAACTTGAAGATTCTATTCAAGTTGAAGAGCAAGTTTCACCTCAAGAGTCTATTGCCAAGAACAGAGGAAATAGACAAATTACCAAGCCAGCTCGGTATAGTGACTATGTTTCTTTTGCTCTTCCTATTATCACTGATGAGATTCCATCCAATTTTGAGGAAGCTATTGAGAGTGAGGAGAAGAAAATGTGGTGCAATGCCATGGGTGATGAGATGAATTCTCTCTTGAAGAATAAGACTTGGGAGTTAGCTAAATTGCCTAAGGGCAAGAAAGCTATCGGTTGCAAATAGGTGTATGCCAAGAAGGAAGATGCTGATGAGAAAAGCAATGTGAGATTCAAAGCAAGATTAGTTGCTAAAGGGTATGCACAAAAGGAGGGCATTGACTACAATGAAATCTTTTCTCCGGTTGTGAAGCTCCTCAATTCGTATTATGTTAGCTCTTGTTGCACAATATGATCTTGAGCTTGCTTGTGCAACTCGATGTGAAGACGGCTTTCCTACATGGTGATTTGAATGAAGAGATCTATATGTGTCAACCGGATGGGTATATAGTGAAAGGGAAGGAAAATTTGTTTTGCAAATTGAAGAAATCGCTTTATGGCTTGAAGCAATCTCCAAGGCAATGGTATTTGAGGTTTGATAAATTTATGAGAGGCCAAAGTTATTCTAGAAGTCAATATGATCATTGTGTGTACTTCAAGAAGTTGCAAGATGGGTCTTTCATTTATTTATTGATATATGTTGATGATATGTTGACTGCCTCAAAGAATGTTGAAGAGATTGAGAAATTGAAGAAACAAATGAAGAATGAGTTTGAGATGAAGGATCTTGGTGAAGCAAAGAAGATCCTTGGCATGGAGATCACTAGAGATAGAGAAAAGGGTTTGGTCAGTTTGAATCAAAGACAATACCTTGAGAAGTTGATTCGGAAGTTTGGAGTTCATGATTCAACCAAACCGGTTAGTACCCCTTTGGCTCCTCATTTTAAATTGAGTTCTCTACAATGTCCTAAAAATGATAAAGAGAAGCTGCAAATGAAAAATATACCATATGCAAATTTGGTTGGTAGTTTGATGTATGCAATGGTATGCTCTAGACCGGATATTGCTCATGCAGTTGGCATGGTGAGTCGATATATGCATAATCCAGGTAAAGAGCATTGGCAAGCAGCTAAGTGGATATTGAGGTATCTCCATGGTACTCGAGATGTTGGTTTATGCTTTGAGAGAGATGACTCTGGTATTGGTCATTTTGCAGTTGATTATGTTGATTCAGATTATGCAGGTGATCTGGATGGAAGGAAGTCTACTACAGGCTATGTGTTTACTATGGCTAAAGGACCAGTTTGTTGGAGGTCCATTTTGCAGTCGTCTGTTGCCTTGTCTACTACAGAGGCTGAATATATGGCAGTTGCTGAAGCTATAAAGGAGGCCATTTGGATACATGGGCTGATTAGAGATTTGGGGGTTGATCAGAAGCAGGTAGAGGTACATTGTGATAGTCAGAGTGCCATTTATTTGGCGAAGTATCAGGTTCATCATGCGAGGACCAAGCACATAGATGTGCGTTATCACTTTGTTCGTGAAATTGTTGGTGAGGGGGAAATCATTCTCCAGAAGATTCCAACTAAAAACAACCCCGCTGATATATTGACTAAGGTTGTTGGTGTAGCCAAGTTTGTTCACTGTTTGAACTTGGCTCACATTTTGCCTATATAAAGAAGGCGTTGAGCAGTAGGAGTTTTGGAGCATTTGACTCGGCATGAGTTGTTCTCTTGTTAATGTTTTGGAGTGATGTTGTGTGTTAATTGTGTTGGTTGGCTTATCATGGCGTTTTTCGGAACTTGGCCAAGGTGGAGATTGTTGAATTGTGGCCAAGTGGCCAAGTGGACAACAAAACAAAACAACTTTCGGCTAATAAACAAACCAAAATAAAAAAAGGTGAAAGACATCATGATGAGGAGGCATCATGATTATGTTTGTTGAAAAGAAAAGTTGATGATCATGATGATGTTTTTGAATTGTTTATTGGGTGTTGATGATGGATGAATGTTAGCATACGGAAGTGAGAAAGAGAGAGGAAGGAGTGTGCACCATTTTCTGTTTTGTAGTCCATCTTTGAGAGAGCAAAGAGAGCTGCAGAGAGCAGAAAACTGAGAGCAGAAAGAGAAGAAAGAAAGATGATTTCTTTCTTTGTTGGTACTCACTCAATCAAAGTTGTATTTGTGTATTAGCTTTGAGCTATATGTATAGAGAAGAAATTATTCATTATATTTCTTCCTCTATTTGTTTCTTTGGTGTGTGAGAGATATTGGGTGTATTGGGTTATTTGGGTTGTGAGATTGCCAACACTTTGTAAACTCCCATTTGGTTGATAGTGGATTATTGGGTGAGCTCCTACTGCTCCGAGGACGTACTCCAGTTACACTGACTGTTGAGGAACCTCGTTAAAATCTTGGTGTCTTTAATATTTTGTTCTTGCATTTCATTTGGTAAATTTCCTGTGGGTTAGCTTGAGTTGGTTCCAACGGGTTTGGTGCTATCCTAGCACAACACCATGATATCCATCAGAGTGGTGCCATTTTATGATCAGCGAACTGTTGTATCTGTGAAGGATGCAGCATGGACGATGTTTTGTGGGAAATCAACGAGACACTTTAAAAAGAGCTTTTGCTCACAAGTATGCCCTCTTTTCTACCTAGTTTCATTTTTCCAGACAAAACCAGCCACCTCATGTGCCATAATCAAATGGTAATCTGTCTCTGCTTTCTTCTGTATCAGGCAAGATTGGTCAAATGCTTACTATATCGGAAAGCTCTGTGAAAAGCTCAAGTTCTTCTCTTATGAGACATCGGTCATATTATTACAAAGCTATTGTTGCTGGTAGATCGGGAAGCAAAGATTCTACTGATAGTTTTGTTTCATGTCCTGATCAAGCCAATCCATGGGATACCGAATATGGTGATATGTCCAGATTTAGTAAAAAACAACAACAAATAACTATGGTGCTTTCCCTGTGGCTCATTTGCTTTTAGAGGAGGCTGCTAGTAGAGGTCTCTTGCATCAGAGACCTATGGATGTTGACGTTTATTTGAATTGCCATCAGCGGAAATTGCAAATCCTTATGGCAGCTGCAGGGATTGGTGAATGCCTTGATTCCTGTAAATCCTTACTCGCTATGCTTCTGACATAGACACACAAGAAAGTTCAAGCAAGCAGTGCTGGAATTTATTGGTTGCCGAGGAAGTGAAGGCTATTTCTCAATGTGTTACCCAAGTGAAGAACTGGATTGATCAATCTGGGGATTCTGTAAGTCAATCGATATTCATGTATAAATAGCTTTGATGCTCGATCATGCTTACCTCAAACTGTAAAACTCGGTACATTTTTTCCAATCAAACAAAGAATTAGGTTTTCACAAGTCAGTGACTTTATGGATCAGTCTAGAGATTTTGTAATTTCATGTTTTGTGCAGTACGTAATTATATCATATGCTTGCAGGACACTATTCGGATGAGCAGCACAGGTGATATGCAATGCTATCTTGTCAGTGATGTACAACACTGCAAGCATATTCCTCTCTACGAAGTCCTCTGGTCTGGTAAATACTGATCAAATTGGAAGAAGTTGGTTCATTGAAGCTTCCATCGCATTCTGCAAGATTCAGCACCTCAACGCCATGATAAATGTTAAAACTCAAGTGAGTCTTGTCAAACTGAAGTTGGTCATACAACGAACTCTCTCAGGAATATTCTCCTTTGTTACGTTCTCTTTAACTTTTTCTAATCCGATCGATGACATGCATAGGATTTGAACTTGATAGAGAAATGATGAACTTAACTAAAGTGTTTATGTGGTTTTTTATCTGATTAACTCGGAGTAATTGTTCTTGATTTGAATCAGATGCTTGATTTACTTTTACTGTATTACTGTTTAGATTAGAGTGTAAATCTAAACCCTCAGAACGCATATTGTTTAGATTTTGAAACCACGTACTGCTACTTTATAGGTGCAGATGTTTGATTTTGTTTAACTCTGTGATATTTCTATTGACGTGATGGGTCTACTATGTCAGGGTTCGGGTGGAATTACTATCAAGAAGACCAGCCAGGCCCTGTTAATCGGTGTATATGATGAGCCTGTGACTCCTGGGCAGTGCAACATAGTCGTTGAGAGGCTGGGCGATTACCTTATCGAGCAGGGTCTCTAATTGCTTCGGTGAGAGTTGATTATCTCCCCATTCCCCTCCTGTGATTTGCTGTTTTTGGAGACTTGGCTTGCATCAGCCGGAATTCACGTTGAATTCCTTCTTTTGTTTGACCGTTACAATTTAATTTCGACTCATGCTCTGGGTATGGATTGTCGTTGTGAATGATAGTCTTTTAATTTTACGATCATTATCCCCAAAGTTTATTTTCTTCCTTCTGATACTTGAAAACATATGTAATTGGTGTCGTTATCTCCGGAATGCCTACGTGAAACGGGTGTTTGTACTATGTAGTTTGGTTTACCAGACCATGAGTTGGGCGAGCTTGTCTAAAGATATTCACCACTTTCGAGTTTTGAGTGGTGAATTTTATCATGAGTAATGCTAGGGACACTAAATTATAGACAAAATTTGGGCGAGCTTGTCCAGAATTAACCGAGCCATTTGTCAAATTCACTTTGAATTTTATCATTGTTACAAGGGAAACACTTCAACGTTTAAAATTCCCAGATGCCTTATTCACTACTTTTGAAGTTGTCTAGCTTTGATATTTTGCCTTTCAGTATTACGGTCTGATGGTATTCCTCTTCGCTTGGGAGTGAGAGGTATTGGGTTCAAATCTCGTGGATGGCGAATTCGGTACTAAATTAGGTTACCCATTTTGTGCGGCTTAGCCGAACTTTTCCTTTCAAATCATCACACACAAATTCCAAGTTAATGGGTCTTTTGACCTATTAATTATCCAAACCCAAATGGTATCAAGCCTACAACTCCCAACTCCAAATTCCAAATTTTCTAATGGTACGAAAGCCGTGAAGGTTCTTCAATGCGTCAATCACCCACTTACAAAGGGCCCAAATCCTTTCAAATTAATCCGTCATTCACATATTAAGCCAAAAATGACACAAGCCGCGTCAAGTCTCATATGGCACGAAGTCGCGTCAAGTCTCAATCGGCACGAAACCGTGTTAAGTCTCAAACGGCATAGAGTTGTCCCACATTTCTCAAGTAACACAAAATCATTCTAAAATGGCAAAAAGCCAATCCGAAATCCAAATGGTACAAAACCCATCAAAATCAAATCACGCTAGAACTACGCCGGTTTGATTCCATCAAGGATACATAAGTAATCTAGAAATTCAATCTAGACGCAACCGCACAAATCCAAAGGTACCAAATTTTAGTGAGGTCATTCACTTGCTAGAAGCCCTAAAAATTCAAAACATTAACGAACTAGGTCTTTTGATTTCATCAAGGATACATAGGCAGTCTAGTACTACGTCGTTTGATATCGAGATAATTTTTCGAGTGTTGTCGATGCAATTTCCGGGTTTCGCCAGATGGTAGCGGTGGCGCTGGACAAGGACAAGCACTCGAGTGGCCTAACCTCCCACAACGGTAGCAGAAAATTCTCAACCCTTCATACTTGAATCGAATCACATAGGAGCCCCTAGCTGGGCATGGTACTGAACAACATGTAATTAAGGGCCGTAATGCGTCAAAATCCACCCTTAATCTCAGGAAACCTCGAAATCCAACCTCTGCTGGATCTTCAACTTCAAGAACTGCCCCAATTTTTGCCCCCAGACTCGGTTCGGTAAGCAGAGATTAAATTTGACGACAAATAAGCGTTTACATGGATCTTCCGCAAGAAGATTGAATAAAAAAAAACTCGTGGAAAAGCATACCACATCTATGACTACCTCCAATTCGATACCACAAAGTAATTAAGCCACTCCGTTGCATCGAAAAGCATATGGAATTAGGAGTGCATTGCATGTCACGTTGGAATTATGAAGAGATTACAAACCATGTATGAAAAAGCAATGAAAACAACAAATAAGACATAAGAAAGGGTTTCACAATATCCAGAGCTTTGAGCAAGCAATTGTTGAGGATGTTCATTTTTGAACCGGACCACTACAAGTCGAGCCTGTCTTTAACGCACCAATGTCCACCTCAACACCACAATAACTTTCCAAGAAATAGCGGCAAGACAAACCGGTGTGACTGTTACACCCATCAAATAGGGTTGTCTAGCATAAAAACAACAAAAATAAATAAACATGAAGAGGTTTTCATTCAAAATATTGGCTTGATTTCTCCATTTAATCGCAATACAGGGCTAGCCAATCACGCAGAAGTTGATTTTATTCATAGGAACTGACGTATCAAGTGCTCTAGTTCTATCATTCGGTTTCCAATTCCAGAAAACTGATGGAGATCATGTAAAAGCTATAAGCTACGTGCAAGACGAAACTTGTATATGGTACTAGAAGAAGAAGAAGAAGACTGAGAGAAGTATAAATACCTCAATCGCAAGCATAAGCAATTTTTTGCAGCTACAAAACTCAAATCCCTCACAAGGCAAGGATCCGGAAGGAGTCCCGTATTTATCATACTCGGAATATAAATTACTCTGAAACGCAGCTCCTTCAACTTCTGAAGGACGAACAACCCTAACAGGGCCGCCGTTCGAATATCTCACCACCACCTCATCAGGGGCACTAGGACCTAACAGAATTAATTTAGATATTATCATTACATAATAGTTTTGTAATTATACAGAGAGAACTGATGATAGACCACGAAATGAAATGATACCGGCAATTAATTACGAGATAAACCTAATTAACGTGACGGGGAAGTGCGGATCATGAAGACTAATACTATCAAAGTGTTGAAGCCCCACCCACCCACCAGCATGCAACGGAATTGAAAACAACTAAATTCGTACGTACTCTTTAAACTTGTGCCAGAGGAACAGGAACGGGAACGGAAGCGGGAGGATCTGAATCCTGCAGATTAAACATGAAATTATTTTATCAGGTTAGGTTAGGGTTTTGGGAAAACCCCCAAAATTATGCAAATGAATAATTAACTACCAAGCCAAACCAGACCATAGTTTTATATACGGATCCCAAAAAAGAAGGGAAAACCAACGTGGCTATTAAAGGAAGATCGACCAAAACCTTGCGAGCCACAGATAAGATGGATAAATAAGCTGGGATCAACAACATAAACATAAACAGATCGAATTCTGTGTTTTCTCACCTCCGGTGCGGGAACCAGAACGGCCGCCGCCGCCACGAGCCATTTTGCTCACTGACGAGGACACAACCCAACCGTCGGAGGGCCTTCGCCGGCTCTAGGGTTTTAGCTTTTCATATCTTATTTCACTTTCAGTCTCCTCAGGGTGGAGAAATTATTATGACATGTGATTCTCAATTTTTTATTTTTTTAACCTGTGATTCTGAATTGTGAGGCTTAAATATTAAAATGATCTCGGTGTTATAGTCATATGACCAACTTAGTTCTCGTATTTTTGAATTGGCTAATTTAATTCTTGTATTTGTCTATGTTAGCTAATTAAGAACATTTCATTCAATCTCTTTTAAAAATTTTATAAGAAAAATTATACTAAATATAATTACCTTTTCTCTTTAACAAAAAATAAAAATCAATAAGAAATAACACATATAAGAGATAAAACTTCCAATCTGAAAAATGATTAAGGTTGTGACATAGAAAAAAGAGGGGGTAGTGTTAGGGAGGAGGTTGGGGAGTTGGGAGGAGAAAATTTTTTCTTTTTCTTTTAATATAATTTAATTTTTAAATATTTTAAATCGAATAAATAATTTAATAAATAAGTTTATAATAATTTATAATTTTTACAGAAATTAGATGGAAATATTCTTAATTGGCTAACGGAGATAAACACAATGATCAAATTGGTTAAATTGAAAACACAGTGACTAAATTGACTCAATGACTAAAACATATAGACCATTTTAACATTTAAGCCTAATTGTGATTATTAAATAAGGCTTGTTAGCAGCCCACGTATTGTTGAATACAACTCACGCACCCCACATTTGACTTTTCAATCAAAGTTGATCTGAATGCACCAACATTTGTTTTTTCAATTAAAGTTTATCTTAATAACTGCATTGGAATTGATGAGTAATTCGAACGCCTCTTTCGTTCGATCGAGCTTATTTAATTTAATTTAGTTTTTTTTCGATTCTGTTTCGGTGTTTGTGTTCTGAATTTCTATGCTTTTTCAGTTCTCGATTGCAGCTATCAATCATACGGAGTCCAAAGGCAATTGGGAGCCTCCCACGAAAGAAGCTCAGGCATGCCTCCTCTCTCTCTACGTTTTCTTTCACAGTTCAGCTATTTTTTTGTTGGATTAGGTCAATGAGTTGGGATTTTATGGGATTGTATTATTGTGGGTAAATTTCGAGCATTGTTAGCAGAAGTCAACTTGATGAGAACAGAGGAGAGAAATTTGACTTCTGTGTAGCATTATATATTTGGGAAGCTTATTGTACTTCTTATCATTGTTTCAACAAATGAGTGAGCCGGAAAATGTGAATTGAATGCGGGTTTTTTGTATGGTAGCCCGATTCAGAAGCGTTTGGATTTTCTCAGCCGAAGATGTTTCCTTTTCCGATCAGTAATTAGATAGAGTTCATACTGTTTAGTTTGGTCTTGGTAGGAATTTCGTCTTTCACAAACATATCATGAAGGGCTTCACAATCACAAGTTGCAAGTCAAAGAATACAGAAAGGCCGCTGAGCTGTTAGAATCCGTCCTAGAAGATCCTCTTATAGAGAACGCGCAGGTGAGCGTAAGATCTTCAACGAACATTTTTCGATGGCAGTCTTCCTTTTTGTCTCTGAATAGGTAGTTATTCTTGTTTCTATTGCCATGCAGGTGGACGGCAGTGTCAGCGATTGCCGTCTATTGCAACTCAGGTTTGGATTTCGGCACCACCCCATAATTTGTGCAATTCTCGGACTCGGTGTACAATTTTCTAATCCACATAGGAGGAATCAGTCTCTAGTAGAATTTTAGTTTTATAACTTTTCTCTCACTAATATTTTTGTGAGATAATAGTCAAAACATATATATTTAAATAAAGGCTAAGCAGACTCGCCTAAAGTAAGTCTGCATCCAATAAGGAGTCCGAGCATATATACTTATGTCTAATATCGTAATCCTCCAATAAAGAATCGTAGGGTATATATTTATAATGGTTGATTAAAAAGTTAAACTATTAGCTTTTCAAAATAGAAAATACATCAAACAAATACAATATTTTACTAAATTTAACCATTAAATGTGCGTTTGAAAATTAAAGGGATAACATGAAATACAATGTGTAGTGCGAGAAGACATTATCCAAAAAAAGGCATCGAATCCAAGGTTTAAAATATCGATGATATTGGAAATATTGGTAGTATAAAAACACGGAAATTTCAATGGAAATATCGGGATATTATCGATATCGATAAAAACTAAATAAAAACCACGGAAATTGTAAGAAAAACTTGGAAATTTTTATTGAAACTTTGCATTGCATGATGAATTTAACTGATTTAAGTTGATTATATAGCGAGTTGGCAAACATTGTGAGTATAGAAAATATGT